GTTGGTTCGTTTTGGCATTTAGGTCTTCTGTGTCTTTATTGAGCTTCTTTCTGGATGATCTGTCCTTCACCAAAGTGGTGTGTTGAAGTTTTCTACTCTCATTGAAGAACTATCTCTGTCTGTTTTCAATGCTGTTAGAGTTTGTTTTATATATATTTTGGAGCTCTGTTGTGGTTTTTTTTGTGTTGTTGAGAGTTTCTTTGTTCCACTTTATTTTCTGTGCTGAGTCGTTTTTCTTTATGTATTTTCTTTTCGTCTTTTTCAGTGTTGTTGATTTGTCTTTGCTGAGTCTTTATGTTTTTCCTGTTTTTTATTTTGATGTGTAGGATGATTAGTTTCCTTTGTGGTTACCTTAATATTTACCTCTTTTTTTCTAAGTTTAAACCAGTCTTTTATTTCTTTATATTTCCTTGTCTTCCTTTCCATATGAAAGATCTATGTCTACATTTTTCAGTCCCTCTTTATTGTTTTAATGTTATCTTTTTCATATTGATGTGTCTTTCCCTGTTTGCAGCATTATAGCTTTGTTTTATTTTTGTGACTTCCCTATCTGGTTTAATATCTGGTAGCTCTGTCCTTTTTTCTAGTCTTGAGTTGTTATCTAATTATATTGATTTTCTAACTGGAGGACTCCCTTTAGTATTTCCTGTAATTTTGGTTTGGTTTCTGCAAATTCCCTAAACTTCTGTTTATCTGGAAATGCCCTAATTTCACCATCACATTTGAGATATAGTTTTGCTAGATATATGATTCTCGGCTGGCAATTTTTTTCTTTCAAGGCCTTATGTATGTCATCCATTGCCTTCTTGCCTGCATGGTTTCTGCCAAATAGTCTGAGCGTAGTCCTTTGTAGGTGATTTTTTGTTTATCACTAGCCTCTCAAAATTTTCTCTTTACCTTTGGTTTTGGCAAGTTGGATTATAATGTGTCTTGGTGACTTTCTTTTGGGATCTACCTTGTGTGGGGTTCGATGAGCATCTTGGATAGATATCCTCTCACCTTTGACGATTTCTGGGAAGTTTTCTGTCAACAAATCTTCAGTTCTCTCTGTATTTTCTGTTATGCCTCCCCCGTTCTGTTACTCTAGTCACTTGTAGGTTATTCTTGATAGAGTCGCACATAATTCTTAGGGTTCCTTCATTTTTTTAATTCCTTTATCTGATTTTTCCTCAAATAAATTGGTGTCAGGTGCTTTATCTTCAGTCTCACCAATTCTGCTTTCATTACTTCAGTTTTGCTCCTATGACTTTCTGTTGAGTTGTCTGATTCTGAAATTATATTGTTAATCTTCTAGATTTCTGTTTGTTGTCTCACTGTGGATTCTTGCAGCCTGTTAAATTTGTCATTGTGCTTTTTTATAATTTTAAGTTCCTCTCTTGCTTTGTTTGTGTGTTCTATGGCTTTTTCTGCATTTTACATGAACTCGTGTCTTGAAAAGTTCTGTATATTAATCTTTTGTATTCTACCTCCGGTAATTCCAAGAAGTTCTCTTCCCCCAGAAAATTTCTTGATTCTTTGTTTTGGGAGCTTGCTGAAGCCATCATAGTCTGCCTCTTTATGTGATTTGATATTGACTATTGTCTCTGAACCATCAATAAGTTATTATTTATTTTATGTTTGCTTATTGTGTTCTAGCTTTTTGTTTTGTTTTATTTTGATATGCCCAAATAGGATGTTTGTGTGAGCTATATTGATTATTGGCACCTTTGAAGCTCTAACGTCCTGTCACCAGGTAGTTAGATCTATTATTAGGTGTGTGAGTTCAGGAGTCTGTTAACTTTTCTTGTGTGGATTTAGCTCAAGTGTCCAGGTAGTCGGTCACCAAGCGCGTGGTGCAGGCTCTCACCTACAGTCCTAGATGGGCAGGGGTGATTGGTGTAGGCACAGTTATCTGGCTGCAGTAGGGGGTCATGTGCTGAGCAAGGCAGGGGGCTTATGTCTGTCCCGGAGTGTCTGGGAGGAATGCATGTCCCTGTTCCCTAGAGCGCGTAGATGGGTGGGTTTTACAGGTAGACTATGGGCATCCAGTGCTGTTGGCTGTAAGGTCTGCAAGGCACCCTGTTGTGGGTGGCTAGGTGTCGTGGGTGGAGCCACCAGTCCTCAGACCCTTGATATGGGTAGATGAGGACTCTGCTTAATGGGCAAAGTGGCATCAAATGTCACAAACCTGGCACTTCATCATATAGCTGATACAGCTGGAGTTAGGCTTCAGGTATATTCCCTGTTGTACTGTGCTAATGAAGGCCTACAGTGTTGAGATGGGCCCAAACAGGACTTTGCAGGGGTGAAAGGCATTCAGTGTCTGTGGACCCCTTTTGCCTGTGCCTAAGCAAAGGAGCTGCGCCTAACCTAAGTTCCCAGCTTAGGGGATCTGGTAGATTATTCATTCTTGTTTGTTAATTTGTTCCCTCTCCAGGCCGGGACAATAGCTCAGGGCACGTAATGTGTCCTTACTTGCTGCCCAGGGGACACGACAATGACTGAAGCTGGCCTCGGACCTGATGTAGAGCAGGGAGGGGGCAGATAAATGGTAGAGAGGTTTTCCCCAAAGGGGGTGTTTTTTGATCCGCGCAGTAGGTTAGATGCATGTACTTATCTTTTGCCGGTTGAGCGCCGCTTTTCACTGGTTCTGGATGCCCTAGTAGACTGTCTGCCGCTGGGTCTCTCCTGATGTGGAAAACACGTCCCGAGTGCCTCTGCTTGCCTCACTGCATGCGCCAGCTGCAGGGTGCTGGTTCCTGCTGGGTCAGGTCTGGCAACTCCTCGCTGCTTCTGAACCATCTCTCCCTCCCCTTGCCACTCAGTCCGATTCCTCAACTTTGCCTTTGATGTTCAGGGCTCCTAGATTGTCATATATAATTGGTTCACTGTTTTTTTTCGGGTCTTTGTTGTAAAAAGGATCACAGGAAGTGTCTTACTACTCCACCATCTTGGCGCCCTGCCTCCACAAGAACATTATTAATATACTGGTTTAGAAGTTTTATTTTGTTGTCTATTCACTTGGCATTTGTTTGCATAGAAAATGCTGTATTGGATAATTCTGTCTGGCACTGAGACCAGGTCACATAGTAGTAAGACAGCGTACCATTTAGATGACAACAAACGTCGTATATCTCTAGCATCTGTGATTTTTAGTAAGAAAACCCTTAAAAGTGGCTTGTTAAATCTGGGAAAGAATGATTGAGCATAATTAGGTAGATATCCTAGAAGGTAGGAAAGTAAATTTCAAAAGAGAAAAAAAAAGTGTGACCCCCCCCCATGGCTTGCATGTATATAAATATATGTAGAGATCGATCTATCAGTCGATCTAATCTATCTAATCTAGCTATCTGATTATGCTTAACATATAGGTAACAAAGCATTTACCACTTCAACATCCTTCACATGTATAGTTCAGTGACATTAAATTTGTTCATCATGTTGTTCAGCCATCACCATTCCCAAATTTACCCTGTGACTTTTGACTCTGAAAGATTGTATGGTTCTTTGAATGAAAGTTAATAAAAATGAGCATACACAATTCTAAATAATTTGAGCAGGGAGAAGTCTCTAAAAGCCCACTGTGGTTATACAAGGAAACTCTCAGATTAACAGCACACAGATTTAATAGCTGGAAAGGGAGATGCAGAACTAAAGATAATTATTAAACAACGGTACAAACCTTTATAAACAGTGGCAGGAACCACAAAGATTGTTAAGTTTTTAAGAGGGATGGAATCATCAGTTCATGCTTTGCAACTGTATCATTCCGTAGGGAGAAATAGTCTTTGAGTTGGAAAAGACACAGTAACATGATAAAAAGGAATTATAGGCATGGTAGGTAAACAGCTAGTAAGTGAAACACCTGACTTCTTTAAGTATATTCAGCTTTTTTCATTTAAATTAATGTCCTCTCTAGTTGCAGTGGACTGTCAGATCTGCTTATGAAATGATTGAATAATCTTTGAGAATTTCATGAAAAATAAAATTGGTGTGAGAGATGATCAAATGCTAGCTTGATTTTTTTTTTTTTTTTAGAAAGGGGAAAATGTGGGTTCTGGAACTTACAAGCCAGTAAGTTTGTTATTGATCTTTGGCAAATTTCTAGAAATAAGCCTTAGAAAGAAGTTTGTGAACATTTATAAAAGGATGCTCTAATATGAAAGTTTCAATGGGTCCACCAAGAACATAGCATGCCAAATTAACTTTATTTCTTTCAATAGGATTGTCAGTTTGGATGTGAATTAGAGAAATACTGTAGAAACAGTTTCTTAATTTTAGTGAAGCACTTGACAGAGTCTTTGGATATACTTTTGCCTGAGATTAAGTTGGTGAAGTGTTGTTTGGATTTAGAGCAAGTAGGTAGATTTGTGGAGCCCTGGTGGCGCAGTAGTTAAGAGCTTTGACTGCTAACCAAAAGATTGGCAGTTCGAATCCACCAGCCACTCCTTGGAAACCCTGTGGGACAGTTCTACTCTGTCGTATAGGGTCTCTATGAGTCAGAATTGACTCGACGGCAATGGGTTTGGTTTTAGGTAGATTGGTAGTTGTTAGATTTACAGTCAGTTGCAATTTAGTACCAGCATTTGATTACAGATTCAGTGTCTCCCCTGATTGAGATATTCAAAGCACCACAACTAAATTGTCTGTATTTTGCCTTAACACTTCCACCAATGATATGGATGTAGGCTTATCTACTTGTAGATTACTCAGAGCTGAACATGGAGAGCTGATAACATACAAGGCAATCAAGAACATCTCCCTAAAACCTTAATTAATCTAGCACATTTTTATCTCCCCCCTCTTAATACACTTTGATGTTTTGTATGTAATGTAAATTCATAATTTAGATTGTTTAAGGGAAAAGTGAATTATATTTCTTCTCTAATATTTTTACCAAATTAATGTAGGAATTGTATGTGCCCCTTATTATAGCATAATATTTTTAATAATACAGATTTAATAATCCAAATTGAAAATTGGAAAAATCTCTGCATAAAGTATATTTTTATTTTCTTTAGGAATATGAAGCACGAACAGGGAGGACCTGTAAACCACCACTTCAGTCTTCAAGACGTAAGAATTTTGAATTTGAGCCACTTTCTACCACTGCCCTGATTCTTGAGGATCGACCATCGTAAGTGCTCTAGTAATCATCGGAACACTTTTTATATTTTAAACATTTATTTTTGTTTACTGTTTCAATTAAAAGATAATGAGAAATTAGATACCAAAGAGGGATTATTTAAAAAAAATTTCAGAGCCCAGTCATGTGTTTTGAAACTAACTGGGGAAGAATATATTGATGATATCTAAGCCTTATGACGATTTTCAGAAAGTCTCTATGAGCCAGTAAATGATATACAAAATCTTGGCTCTTTGTTTTTATTGTAGCCCTACTATGTTTTATCTTAACATGATAGGGCAATTACTGTTTCTTTCTTGACCAAACATCTTAATACCTAGCACAACATTTTAGTTTCTTCTCTTCTCTGCCCTTCTTTGCATCCCTCAGAAAAGCTGCTGTTTTTCAATGTATTGTCTCTGATTTGTTATCAAACAAAACACCTCCTCTAAAGTAAGATCACTTGGTTCTTAACTCCTTTTCCCCTGGGTTATCTGGATCTATTCTTTTTTCTGCTCAAGTTCTCTTTCCTTCCAGTGTAAAAATTCCTGGATATTCTTGTCATTTTCCTGGTCTGCAGCTTTTTCTACCCAGTGTCCTGATGAGCTTGTGGAGCCCTGGTGGCATAATGATCAAGAGCTTGTCTGCTAAACAAAAGGTTGGCAGTTCGAATCCACTAGCCACTCGTTAGAAACGCTACGGGGCAGTTCTACTCTGTCCTGTAGGGTCACTATGAGTGAGAATCGACTTGATGGCAATGGTTTTTTTCTTTTGATGAGCATAATAAAAAGATCTGAAGCCAAACACAAATAGAATCATTTGTAGACCTTGAAAGAGAAGAAGGACAGGATATATATATATTTTTAATTCTTGTTACATTCCTTCATATTAAAGAATTATGATCCTGATGCTCTCTTATTAGGATTTTATGAATATGTATATATTCACTTTTCCATTGTTAGAAAAAAGCTTTTTAGAAATTTAGTTATGAGAGCATGTCAAAGTTTTATTTCAAGTTTGCTGCCAGAGAGGAGAACAGAACCAGGCCAATTCAAGGACCCCTTTCTTGATAGAGTAGAGACATATAGAGGAAAATAAGAGTGGTTGGAGAAGTAAGAAAAGAATATCTGGTTAAAGATCTTTAGACTCTTGACTGATAGTCAGCTGAGTCGGTGAATAACTAAGTTCCCAGAAGAGCTTTCTTATGTTTGTTAAAATTAATCCAAAATGGCTTAAACTTCTTACCAGGAATGTTAATTTCTTATCAGAAGGATTTTGTGAAAACATCATGCAGGAAGTTCTGTTCCAGACAGCTTTTGAGACAAAATTTTCTTTATACCATCCTCAATTTTAAAATCAAATATGTGCCTTTAAAGTCCTGCCTTCAGGCCTTTGCTCCTATTATTACCCTTGCTTGGAATGCAGTTCTCTTCTACTTCTCCTCTACCCAGTCCTTTAAGGATTAGGGTTTATCTTTTCAATCCGGTCTTTGTTGACTTCTTTAACCTTCAGTGATACCTACTTCTCAGAACTCCTTTTCTTGTAAGCAGTTCATCAAAATAATGTTTTATGTAATTGTCTTAAAGTAGTATACTAGACATAACTTTATATAAGAAGATCCCAGTGTAGCAAGAAAATGCACAAACAGCTGAAAAAAGTACCATTTGTTTATTGAACTATCTGAAATTCATATATCAATTATAATAAATGTTGTTACTTTTATTCTGTTTTTTTTTGTTTGCTCATCTGTAATGTAGAGATTGAATTTGATCTGTGCTGTTCCACTGTGATGTGCTGTGATTTAATTAACAATTTGTTCACCTTTTAATTTGGAGGGGTCTTTTTTGAGGGGGGGAACTAATTTATGTGACTTACATTTATGTAATTCAAACAAACAAACAAAGGTTTTTTTCCATAGTGTTGGAATATGGAGGTGTTATTTACTCATTCCTCCTCCTACTTCAACCACTTGAGAAATAGATATAGGGAAAAGATGTCACTTTAAGGACTGAGGTGCGCCTGACTCAAGCCATAGTATTTTCAATTGCCTCATATGTATGTGAAAGCTGGACAATGAATAAGGAAGACCGAAGAAGAATTGATGCCTTTGCATTATGGTGTTCACACAGAATATTGAATATACCATGGACTGCCAGAAGAACACACAAATCTGTCTTGGAAGTACAGCCAGAATGTTCATTAGGAGCAAGGATGGCAAGACTTAGTCTCACATATTTTGGACATGTTATCTAGGAGGGATCAGTCCCTGGAGAAGGGCATCATGCTTGGTAAAGTAGAGGGTCAGCGAAAAAGAGGAAGACGTTCAACGAGATGGATTGACACAGTGGCTGCAACAATATGCTCAAGCATGGCAACGATTGTGAGGATGGCACAGGACTGGGCAGTGTTTTGTTCTGTTGTACATGGGGTCACTATGAGTTGGAACCGACCCGATGGCACCTAACAACAGGAACAACTCTCTTATTAACTAGACTTTTATAATCATGGTTTGAGACATAGTTTTATGTCTACTTAAAGTCTGTGATCTTTGTGCTCATGCATAGTTTAGTTCCATTCCTTACATAAATGACCTGGATAACAGATTCTGTTCTCCTCTTCTAGAGTCAGACCTGCATTGCCCATTATGGTTGCCACCAGGCACGTGTGGCCATCTAAGTTTAATTAGTTAAAATTAAATAAAATAAAAAATTCAGTTCCTTAGGGTCACTAGCCACATTTCAAGTGCTCAGTAGTCACATGTGGCTAGTGGTTATTGTGTTGGACAGTACAAAAACATTTCCATCACCGTAGAAAGTTCTAGCACTAGTCTAGACTGTATTGGAGGGACTGTGAGGAGGTGCAGAGAAGAGATCTATTTAGAACTGTAAGTTCCATCTTCTCAATAAACAGAAGAGAAGATCCACCAAGCTGTGCTGTTACGTCTACGCAGGTTTTTCACTGGGACTTGTGGAAAAGAAACAACAGAGATTGCAACTGCAAAAGGCATTAAGCTTCACACCGCTAGAGGCAGCATTCTAGGTGAAGGGAATGAACAGTCATTTGGTGGAAGGTAATAAGTGGTTAGAAATCTTAAAAGTAGGGTTTGTAGTTTAAAAACTGAAAATTAAATTTCAGTTAATTTGTTTGTGCTGGTAAAATAATTCCTACAGGTAAATGACATATAGCTCTCACTGTCATCTAAGCAGGTTTCTGTATCTTAGGAATTCAGAGTCCAATGAGGAAAACAAACCACTTTAGTAATTTCAAAGAGATGAAATTTAATAGAAGAATTCTTCACAAAGTTGTTAGAAGGCTAGAAAAGCAAAAGAAGGGAATATAATATAATATAATCAAAAGATTAATAACCCCGGAATAGCATTTACTGCTCTCGGTGGAGGATCAAAAGGGAAAAGAGTATTATTCAGGTCCCAAGATCACAGTTTATTTGAAAACCAGATTTATATTTAACTTCTTTCTGTTTCTTCCTGTGGTCTTATTTTCTTTGCAGGAAATAAAGTGTCTTCTCTTCATATAATAATAACATAATTTATAATGAAAGGGGATACTGTAATCATTTTTGCGTGAGAATATATAGGAATGCATCATTACTTTTATCATCACAATTCTCTTCTAATTTAGGGAAACACTTTATCTGAAATTTAAGAATAGTTAAATCCATTATTCTTCTTTGGAACCATACTGGACAATTACTGTTTCCATCTAGAGAGCAGGGTAGTTTGTAAAAGGAAATGAGAGAAACAGCTTTAATTTGTAAGACTTAAGGGAGTTTTAAGGAGCCCTGGTGGTGCAGTGGCTGTGCACTAGGCTGCTTGAAGTAGAGGGTCAGCAAACCAAAAGGCTGCTAACCGAAAGGTCGGTGGTTTGAACCCACCAGCCACGCCGTGGGAGAAAGATGTGGCAGTTTGCTTCTGTAAAGATTTACAGCCTTGGAAATCCTATCTGGAAACCCTATGGGGCAGTTCTGTTCTGTCCTGTGTGGTTGCTGTGAGTTGGAATTGACTAGATGGCAATGGTTTTTTTGTGTTTTTTTTTCCTTTTTTTTTTGTTTGAAGGAGTTTTAGTACATAAATAGGCAACACTAGGAATCATAAAGGTTAAATTGATCTGGGTGTAAGGTCTAAAATGCACTGGGTTTTGCGAGTGGCTGGAGTCAGGTGATGTTTTTGTAGATTCCCTTTATTGTTTTGAGGATGTTTCCTTCTGTTCCTGAGAGTAGTTGGTTTTTTGTTTGTTTTTAAATCATAAATGAGAATTGAATTTTGCCAAATGCTTTTTCGACATTCATTCATGTGGTTCTTCTTTTTATTCTGCTGACATAATGAATTACATTGATTGATTTTCAAAGGTTGAACCAATCTTGCATTTCCAGGATAAACCCAACATTGTCCTGATGTATTATCCTTTGTATATATCACTGGATTTGATTAGCTAAAATTTTATTAAGGATTTTATTTATGAGGACTGTTGGTATGTAGTTGTTTGAAAAGTCTTTGTCTGGTTTTGGATCAGGTTAATGTTAGCCTCGGAGTCCCTGGGTAGTACAAAGAGTTAATGCCCGTGGCTGCTAACTGAAAGGTTGGAGGTTTAAGTCCACCCAGAGGCACCTCGGAAAAAAGGCCTGGTGTTCTACTTCTGAAAAATCAGCCATTGAAAACCCTATGGAGTAAACTACTCTAACAAACACAGGATAACCATGAGTTGGAAGCAACTTGGTGGAAACTGGTTTCAATTTTGTTATTATTAGCTGCTGTTGATTTGGCCCCCAACTCATGGCAACCTTATGCTCAATGGAACAAAATGCTACCCAGTCCTGTGCCATCACTATGATTTGTTGTGGATCAGATCTTTGTGATCCAGAGAGTTTTCCTTGGCTGAGTTTTTGGAAATAGATCACCTGACCTTTCTTCCTAGTTTGTCTTAGTCTGGAAGCTCTGTTGAAATCTATTCAGCATCATAGCAGCATGCAAGCCTCTACTGACAAACAAGTTATGGCTATGTATGAGGTGCATTGGCTAGGAATCAAACCTCAGTCTCCCATATGGAAGGGGAGAATTTTACCACTGAACCATCACTGCCTCCATGGTTTTAATGTTAGCCTCATAGAGTGAATTGGGAAGTATATTTTCTGGAAAAGTTTACAAGTAATTGTTATTCTTAAAAGTTTTATAGAATTTACTCATGCAGCCATCTGGCTGTTTACTTTGTGGGAAGGTTTTTATCTACACATCCAATTTCTTTAACAATTTAGGGCTATTTAGGTTATTTATTTCTTCTTGAGTGAGTTTTGATATTTATGTTTTAGGGAATTCACCCATTCCGTCTGAATCATTGAATTTATTGGCATAAAGTTGTTTATAATATTCCCTTATTATCCATTTAATGTCTGTAGAATCTGTAGCAATACCCTTCCCCCCCACATTCCTGATATTGGTCGTTTGTATTTCTCTCTCTCTCTGCCTCTGTCTCTTTTTATTTCCCTGATCAGTATGGCCAGCAGTTTATCTTTTTTTTTTTCCTCCAAAAACCAGTTTTTGGTACACCAATGCTCATCGCAGCATTAATCATAATAGCCAAAGGGTGGAAAACCCAAGTGTCCATCAGCAGAATAATGGATAAATAAAATGCAATATATACACGCAATAGAATATTATTCCACCATAAAGAGAAATGAAACTGATTCAGTAAAACCTGCGAAAGCCAGAACCTGTGTAAAGCAGAAACGTGTCAGAGAAGGAAAATTCATATATTTTCCACTAACAAAGACCAATAGAGAAATGGTAAGACTGCATTCTGTCAAAGACGGAATACTTGCATGACGCGGAAAAACAAGGCAGTCCTGTTGAGTTCCGGCTCTCACAGGTTTCAACGTACATACTATGACATGAATAAGCCTTGAAAGCATTATGATAACTGAAATAAGCCAGACACAAAAGGACTAATACTGTATGATCCCATTTATATGAAATATCTAGAATAGGAAAATGTATAGAGGCAGAAAATAGATTAGTGGTTACCATGGGCTGGGGGAAGGGAGGAATCGGAAGTTGTTGCTTAATATGTACAGAGTTTTTGTTTGGGATGATGAAAAGTTTTAGAAAGAAATAGTGGTGATGGTTGTACAAAATTGTGAATGTGATTAATGCCACTGGATTGTATACTTGAAAATGGTTAAAATGACAAATTTTATGTTGTATATATTTTACCCACCAGGAGGAGCTCTGGTGGCATAGTGGTTAAGTACTGGGTTGCTAACCGAAAGGTCCGTGCTTCAAATCTACCAGCGGCTCTGCGGGAGAACGATGTGGCAGTCTGTTCCTGTAAAGATGACTGTCTTGAAAACTCTATGGGCAGTTCTACTCTGTCTTGATGGGCTGCTGTGAGTCTGAATTGACTTGATGGCAATGGTTTTTTTTTTTTTTTTTTGTATGTATATTTTACCACAATAAAACAAATAAACAGAAGTATTACAAACTCTGTAAATCAAGTTTAAAGCTATAAATTGCCCTTTGAGCACTCTTTTAGCATCATTGTACAAATTCTGATATGTTGTAGTTTCCATTTCATTCAGTACAAAATATTTCTAATTTCCCTTATTTCTTCTCTGACCCACATGTTATTTAAAAGTGTGTTGTCTGGTTTCTAAATATTTTAGGGGAATTTCTAGATATCTTTTTATTATTGATTTCTAATTTAATTCCTTTTTGGTTAGAGAATATACTTTGTATGATTTCAGTATTTTAAAATTTATTGAGACTTGTTTTATGGTCCAGATAAAGTCTGTCTTAGCCTTAATTGGAGTGCTGTATATATGACAGTTTCCAGTTGGTTGATGGTGTTGTTCATATCTTCTATATCCTTACTGATTTGCCATCTACTAGTTCTATCAATTACTGAGTGAAGAGAGTGTTGAAATCTTCCAATATAATTTTGTGTTTGTCTTTTTCTCCTTTAAGTTCTATCAATTTTTGTTTAAGGTAGTTTAAGCTCTGTTAGTAGGTACATACATCTTAAGGATTGTAGGTCTTCTTGGGTAATTGACTCTATTGTTATAAACTTAACCTCTTTATCCCCCTGATAATATTTTTTACTTTGAAATTTAGTTTCTCTGATATTAATATAGATACCTAAGCTTTCTTTTGAGTAGTGTTAACATGATATATAATTTTCTGTCCTTTTAGTTTTAACCTGTATCCCATCTAAAGTGGGATTTTGTAAACAACATACAGTTGGATCTTGTTTTTTTAATCTATTGTCACAATCTTTGCCTTAGTTTAATTGGAGTGTTTACATTTAATGTGATTATCGATATGTTTGTGTCTAAATATTACTGTCTAGTTATTTTTCTGTTTGTCCTATCTTATTGGTATTTCTCTCTTTTCTCTTGCCTTCTGTTGGATAGAATGTTTTCTTAACATTTAATTTCATCTATTATTGGCGAATTACCTATATCTCTTTGTGTGTGTTGTTTTTAGTAGTTTCTTTAGAGTTTACTATATATATATATATGTTTATATATATGACATACATTCTTAACTCTTCACTAATTACCTCCAATAGCATTATGCCATTTCACATATACCGTAAGAACATTATAACAATATACTTCCATTTCTCCACTCTTGACCTTTCTGCTACTATATCTACATTTAATTTTTAACCTGTGTTATAAACCTCATAATACATTATTATTATTTTTTTTCCTTTAAGCCTTCTATTAGGAGATTGCATAGCTCCCAGTTTCCATCTGGTATCATTTTCCTTATGCCTGAAGGACTTCTTTTAACATTTCTTATAGTCCTGGTCTTCTGATAGTGAATTTTTCTCTTTGTAAATGGCTGTAAAAGGAAGGAGTTAACATGTTGAAAATGAGTCTTTTAAAAATTGACTTAAGTAATTTTGTCTTTCAGAAATCTTCCTGCCAAATCTGTGGAAGAAGCTTTACGTCACCGACAAGAATATGATGAGATGGTGGCTGAGGCTAAAAAACGAGGTATAAAATTTAACTCCAAATCGTGTAATTTCCTGATTTCATGTTGGTTAATTTCAGCAGGAAGATGGATGATGAAATTGATCAAATCCATCTTCAAGATGATGCTGAATTCTTATTTTTCTTTACTGTTTTTAATAACTAAGTTTGGTTTTTAAAGGGGTATAAAATGTCATACCAGGGTCATAGTTTTTATGCAAGTACTTTTACAAAACTAATATTAGAAGAAAGGAAGAGACTTGAGGTATGTTGTAATTTCTTGGATTGCTATTATCTGAGTTTATAAATGAAGATATTCATGAATTTGTTCATGAATTTCACTTCCTTTATGGTTTTTAGGCTTTTGATATTTTATAATTTAATAATTTTAACATTTAAGGTAACTTTTTATATGGCTGTGAGAACATGACTTGAAATTAAAATTTGCTTTTGTGACTTATGAAGTCTCCCTAAGGACTGTCCAAGTCCCAGTTGTGTCATTTTGCCAGGCATATAAATGTATACTGTAACGTGTGTGCATTTACACATTTGTTCATTAATTCCCTTCTCCAACCAAAAAAAAAAAAAAATAGCATAAGGATAATTTAATAGTATTTACTGACTACTGTTGGTTCAGGATAAACATACATTTTTAGAAAATATTACGTAGCTATATCTCTCTTTAGACCTTTGCTTTATTAGCAGTTAATATTTTTTCCTTTGACTTAAGTGAATAGAATATTATAATAGTATACAGTTCTGCTTTGTGCACTACTTTGGAAATGAAGTTGAGTCATTAATTTTAGAATACATATAAGATAAAGGCCACTTATACTAAAAGGCCTATTATTTAAACATTGAGTTTTTTTACCACATAGTTTTTGAAATATTTCTAATATGACCAGTACATTTTTATTTAATCTTAACATTGACTTTTACTATTTGATTAATATTTAAGATGGTTATTGATAAGATGATCCTAACAACATGACATAATAGAGATAACATGAAGTTGAGAAATAAGAAGACTACAGATTTAATCCTGTTTGGTACTACTACCTGGATGTAACACTCTGAATAGGCCTAATGTTAAGTTTCCTTCCTGTAAAATGTGGAGGCAGGTGGACTAGATTAGTGGCTTTCAAGCCTCTCTTCTCACACTTTTTTTTCCTTTTTAAACAGTGGACACCTTTTTCAAGAAATCTTACATAGACTCTGAATACATAAAATAAGTAAAAGAAAGTGGAGCTGCTTGCTTGGCCTCCTGCTTGCCCCTCAAGACAGTTTGTGAGGCACGTGTGAAATACAATTTGAAAACAGTTTGGCTAGCTGATCTCTAAAGGCTCCACTGGTTCTCAAATTATATCACTATTGATTTATAACTCACTTATTTCTGTCTATATTTGAGGCATTTCTTGTTACAAAATTGTGACTTCTGATCCCCTCTGGAAATGATGTTGTGGATATATATGTGTGTTGGGGAATTTTTATTTCAGTATGATTGGCAAAATGATACACCATACTAAGAAGGATTTACTGCAGCAATGCTGTAGGTAAAATCATTTTTTAATATTATGTGGTTTTATGTCAGGAAATTCATAAACCCCTTATATGAAAAAATGGTATTAGTTGCTCATAGTTGTTTATTTTTCACATAGTTAATTCATTACAAATTTCAGTTCATAATTAAGTATATGTAAATAGAAATATGTAATAAAGTAATTTACTTAAGGGACTTTTCTGGCCTTTGTTCCAAATTATTTACTTTTGTAGCATAGGCGATACTATTTTAAAATTATGTTAACCAAGTTCATTTTCTTTTTATCTTTTTCCTTCCCTCCCTTCCTTTCTTTCCTTGTTGTTATCAGAATATTCTTTTTGAAAAGGTCTTCTGTAGAATTAGGTAGAAGTAGGAGGGGATTTTGATCTAGTGCATTTGTACTGAAATAATTCTTGCTTGTTTAAAACAGAAATTAAAGAAGCACATAAAAGAAAAAAAATAATGAAAGAACGATTTAAGCAGGAAGAAAATATTGCAAGTGCAATGGTAATTTGGATCAATGAAATACTGCCCAATTGGGAAGTAATGTAAGTAAGCAGATTTTTTCCTGAATTCCAGTTTGCCTCCAAAGATCTCATGTTTCCAGTTCTAGAGTTTTATTACTTCCCAGCATGTATCTTATGCTTTGGCTAAAATGTACTATTAACCAATGCCTGAATATTTCCATGCTTATCCCTGCGGCTTTGCTTTTATAAATCTCTCAATCTTTAATACCTGCTTCCCTGACTGACCACCCTCTATGCCTGTCAAAATCTTACTCATCCTATGAGATCTATCTGAAATGCTATGAGCCATGAAACTTTTAAAATTTCATCAGTTACCATACTTTCGTAATTTTAACATACCATCAGTTATAAGATGTACTACTGATATAATAGCAGATTTTGGAGGAAAAAAGTTAAATGTTTACATTGATTGTAAGATACTTTTAAGTGTTAAAATGATTTTTAAATGCCTGTCTCATAATCAAGGAAATAAGGTATATATGGTATTTCCCTTCTATAAATGTCCCACCATGCTTTGAGACTAATATTCCTCTTGCCTTACTGTGCCTTCTGTGTTTTGATAATATTTTTGTATATGCCTATCTTCCCTTTAGACTGGAGGGTAAGAGATATCTTTTGCCATGCTTAGTGTAGTGTATACGAAGGGAATTTTTTGAATATTGGCACATGTACCAGATATTAGGTTCTTTACATAAGTAATCTCATTTGTTTCTTATAACCATCATTAGGTGTATATATTTTTACCCCCATTTATCTTACAGAGAAGCTCAGGGTCAGAGAGGTTAAGTGATTTGCCCAAGGTTATATGGTTAATGAGTGGTTAAACCAGATTTGAACTCAGGTCTATCTGACTCTAAAGCCCACACACACTCTTGGCAGACAACACTGCCTCTCAAAGACTAGGGACTTACTCACATAAATATTTTGTTACTTTGTTTTTGGTACTGAATTGGCAACACATTTTTATGTCCCTTTTATCCTTTTTTTTTTTTTTTTCTGTAATTGTCCACATACTTCTGATTGTCTCCTTGTATCCTTGGTATAAACAGCGACTAAAGAAGGCAGCTCCCTTTAAATTACAGTTATCCCTTTTTGGGGTACTGTGTATTTCTAAAGGAGTCCTGGTGCAGTGGTTAAATGCTCGGCTGCCAACTAAATGTCGGTGGTTCGAACCCACCAGCCGCTCTGACAGAGAAAGACTTGGCAATCTGCTTCCATAAAGATTACAGCCTAGGAAACCCTATGGGGCAGTTCTACTCTGTCCTACAAGGTCACTGTGAATCAGGATTGACTCAATGGGACACAACAACAACATATATTTGTAGGTTTTTGTTGCCTGAAAGCATGAACTCAAAGAATGCATCACATATTTATGTTCTTCAAAATCATTCAGTCACTTGGCCGTAGACTAGGTAAACCATCATGCAACTAGTATTTTTGGTATAAAAAGTAACTTTCTCCTTTTTTCTCCCCCTTTAATTCTAGGCGTAGTACAAGAAGAGTTCGAGAATTGTGGTGGCAGGGATTGCCCCCTAGTGTTCGTGGGAAAGTTTGGAGTCTAGCTGTAGGAAATGAACTAAATATCACTCCTGGTTTGTATTCTATGTTCAGTTACTCCCACACATACAAATAGCCATCTCCAGAGTTACAAAGCAGATTAGTAGATCGACCATTTAAAAAGGCATTGCCATACATAATGTCCTTTTAAGAGCGTGCTTCATTTTCCCTTCCTCTAAAACCTGATAAGATTTAGTAAGTAAGTTGCTATATTTCATATTGTATAAAAAAGATTTGTGGTTTTCTTTTAATTTACAACTATTAATAATATCCTTGGCATCTTAAATATTATGTTGTTGTTGTTAGCTGCTATTGAACAGGCCCCCAAATCATGGCAATCCCATGTTTCAGTGAGGGTAATTTCAAAAACTTCTGATGATTCTAGGTAGCAGTGGATGAATAAGTATATATGAGGAAAAATAAAATAATCTAGTTATGATAGGTTTCCTCTTTACCCCCCTTGCCCCCCTAAAAAACCATAAATATTGGGAAAAGGCTAGAAACTTCTTTTGCTACTTCTCTACCCAAACCAGTCCTTTTGGATTTTTTTTTTAATTTAAAAGAATTTAAAGTTTAAGAAAAAGAAATGGGGACTCTCCAGGAGCTGTGGTCTTATTTTCTTAAATTTCTCAAAACCTTGAAGGAGAGGAGTAAAATATAGAAGAGTTTTGATGAATTTTTTAAAAAACTAGATAAAATTAGGTAATATTAGATAGGGGAGAATATAGAATAGTTAATAATAAAAGGTGCTAAAGGTCTGAGTGATGATGATAGTGCTGGATACTGGCACTAGACAAAGACTTAAGAACTCTAATGATGGAAACAATAAATTGTTCCTGTTACTTTTTAAAATTTTTGTCTACATACTCACTGACAAAAAATTCAAGCAGCAGTAAAGTACAAACTGTAAGTCTTCCCCTCTTCTAACCAAACTCCCACTCTAAATCCTACTACAGGTACTGTTAGTAATTTGGTATGTGTTCTTCCAGACTGTTTTGTTGTGCACATAAAAAAGTGTGCACCCAACTGCCCTGACAGGGAACACAACAGAGAGTCCCGGATGGAGCAGGAGAAAGGTGGGGTGCAGAACTCAAATTCTAGTAAGAAGACCAGACTTGGTCTGACTGAGATTGGAGGAACCCTGGAAAGCATGGTCCCTGGATTCTCTATGAGCCCAGAACTAAAACAGTTTCCGAGGCCAACTCTTCAAACAGGGATTGGACTGTACTGTGGGATATAAAGTGATACTGGTGAGGAGTGTGCCTCTTAGCCCAGGTAGATATAAGAGACTAAATGGGCAGCTTCTGTCCGGAGATGAGATGGGAAGGCAGAGAGGGTTAGGAGCTGGTTGAATGGACATGGGGAATCAGGTGGAAATGAGGAGTGTGCTGTCACAGTATGGGGAGAGCAGTTTGAGTCACGTAACAGTGTATGTATAAATTTTTGTATGGGAAAAAAAAATCCCAATTAAAAAAAAAAAAAGTGTGCACCTATATGTGATACTTTTTGAGGTTTTTTTTTTCTTTTTCCTTTTTTTTTCCCACAGAGAGGAATTTATATCACAATATTATTCTGAAGCTTGCTTTTTTCATGCTGTGATCTATCTTGGATAACCCTCTATGTCAATACATACAATTCTACTACCTGCATGTTTTCCACTATAATTTATTGAACCATTTTCCTGGTGATAGACAAATCAAAGACATATAGGTTAAAACAACATCCAGGTGTTGTTTTTCACCCCTCAAATTTAAAAAGGTTAAAATGAATGTGACTTACCCATATAAGATATGATGGAAAATAATTTGGAAATATTTATCAAAAGCTTCAAAAAATATAACGTTTGACGTATTTATCCCAATTCTAAGAATTTATTTTAAGGACGTAATCAGGATTGGGTGTAAAAGCTTTTCTACAAGGATGTTCCTTGTAGCATTCAGTCAGTATTAGATATAATTGAACAGAATTATGTCAAAATCTAAATGTTTCTTTTTAGTCTTAACAGTGATTCCATCTTTGGCATAGAATGATAATGTGGTTTTTAAAAACCAACTTTCACAAATATTCTATGATGAGCATGTTATTTTAACAAGAATTTTTAAAAAGTTTTTTAAATAGAATCTGAAGGAAGAATATAAGAGTTTGAGTTTAGCTTAGAAAAGGTTGGATTCCTTATGACTTAACTGTTCTCTCCAAATATAAACAAAGCTTTCTTTTGTCTTCTATTCTTCGAACAGATTAAAAGGAAGTGTTTTTACATTATCGTTAGAGATTTCAGTTAGATTTTAAAGCTTCTTGATATTAAGGATTGTTGAATATAATGGAATTGCTTAAGGGCTTAGAAATTCGTTTTGCAATATGAGTTCTTCTGACCCTAATTACCCAGAGTTAGGCCAAACGTCACAGGTTAGGGGCACAGTCCTCCACAAGACTGCCCTCTCTTCAAACACCAGCTGCAAGTTTGGAGGTTTCCAGGCCACCTGCATTTCTAGCCAACTGGCTAAAAATTTGAGGGTTCCCAGTATCCCCTCGAGACACCAGCTGCAAGCTCAGGGGTTCCAAAGGCACCTGCACTTCTGACCAACTGGCTGTAAATTCAGCGGTTCCCGCTCCCCCCTCAGTTTCAATAATTTGCTAGAAGGACTCACAGAAATCAGGAAAGCACTAAACTTATGACTATAGTTTTATTATAGCAAAAAAAAGATACAAATTAGGAACAGCCAAAAGAAGAGACGCGTAAGGGGAGGTCTGGGAGGGTCCTAAACTCAAAGCTTTCGTGTCCTCTCCCTGTGGAGTCAGGACACATCACCCTCATAGCAGATTGATGTATTTTCACTCAGGGAACCTCTCCTGGGCTTTGGTGTTCAGAGTTTTTATTGGGGGTTTCTTTACATTGACATCATCAATTGAATCATTAGCCATGTGACTGAATTCAATCTCCAGCCCTCCTCTCCTCCCCTGATGACGTATGGTGGGTCTTTTTCAAGTGGCCAGCCCTCACCATGAGACACCTTGTTAGCATAAACCATTAGGTGTGGTTTGGAGGCCTTCCAGGTGTTAACAAAGACATTCCAGTCACTCAGGAAATTCCAAGGAATTGTTGGATATTTGTATGTTCAAGAATGGAATGAGTATTCATTCCCTTCTTTTTCATTAGTGGTGGGAAGGATTTTAAATTTTTTTAAAAGTAGAGTTATTTTTTATAACCTTGTTTATTTTTTAATGGCTCTAGTAGTTTGATTCTTTATCTGTTGTATTTTTTTAATCATGCAATTTATAACCACTAGACAATAGTAACTAAAAAATAAGGGCTCCAAAGTCAGGCAAATGTAGTTCAAGTCTTGGTTCCACTGTATTTTAGGTTTGTGACCTTGGGCAAATTACTTAACATCCAGAAGTCTTAGTTTTCTTCATCTGTAAAATAGGGGTAGTATTATTGGCTATCTCAAAGGATTGTTCTAACAGTTATTAGTGTCAATGAACATAAAATTATAGTGAAAGTGAAATTTGCTGTGTGTAGAATATCATCATTATCGGAAAATCAGAAAGTGAAACATACACCAAAATCAAAGTAGTCTCTGTTCAAGTGCAAGGTACCATCTGCTGTCCCATTGTAGATTAAAAATAAGTGTGGCATGAGGAGCCAAGCATGGAATTGAACTGAGATGCAGGTCTTATTATCATAGATGAGCACTGTACATCTCTGGAGAGATGTCCTTTGATATTTTGGAATGCAGTACCACATTTTTATTATTAGATCAATTTTGTGGCTTACAGAAGTGACGGATTTTGCGTGGTGAGCCTTTCAGTTTTTAAATTTGGGTAGAACAGTGAAACTGGACCTGACTTGGAACTAGTTTGAAATCATAACATGTAGATTTCAATTTGATACCTGATAACCCCAAAATAATTGTATATCTAAAGTTTAAAATTGTATCTGCCTCTTCCAAATTGTTGATGGGGTTGGGCAGAAGTAACAGAAATTGTAAGTTTGAATTTTTTTTTCCTTTTTTAATTTCCTCTTTCCAAACCATTAGTAGGAATGACAAACCATTAGTAGGAATGAGAAGTGAATAGAAGAGAGAAGGGAACAGAATAATAAGAGTCTGTTTGAAGAATATCTAGTCAGCTATTATAATGATCTGATTCTTGGCAATATGTAGCATACTTGTTGTAGTACTATCATACATTGGAATATTATGCAGCTGTTTAAAAAAAAACTAAAGCAGATCTATATCCACTGATACGGAACAACTTCCAATATAACAAAGCAATATGCAGATCAGTGCATGTAATATGTTGCCACTTTTTTTTTATAAAGGAGGATATGTTTGTGCATGCGTATTTTCATCTTTGAAAGGGTTTGTGAAATTTCTAGTAACTATAGTTGTGTCTGAAGAAAACAGTGAGAAGGAAATTTATTTTTCACTGTTACTATTTTGCACTGTTTGAATTTTTAAAACCATATTTACCTTTAAAAATAAATAAATAAATAGATTAATTGAAGCAAAAATTTTTCTTGATATGACAGGCAATATATAAATGTTGGTGTTTGGGCAAGAAATACTTTTTGCTGTTCTTTTGTCACTGAAATTTATTATCTTTATGTAATTAACAATGGTTAGTTAGAAAGTAAAGACAAAATTTGAGAATTAAAAAATTTCTTCTGTTCCTGAAGTCTTAATGAGACACTGCATCTGCAAGAACAGTGGTAGTCTCAAAAAAAAAATAATTGGGCATTTAGATTAAAGATAGGGGTAGAGATTTTCGTATGTAGATCTTTGGCCAAATCTGTGTGAAATGTAGGTAGCTTTAGATGGCAACATCATAACGGGGAAACCAGTTTCAGGACAGAAAGAAAACCAGAACTAGCATTTATCAAAGGCCTACAAGGTGCCAGGAGCTTTACATAAATTATTTAATTATCAGTAACCCCATGAAGCAGGTGTTATTTTTTTCTAGTCTACAGATGAAGAAAGCTGAGTTTCAGAGTGGTTAAGTAACTTTCCCAAAGTTTCACAGGTAGTAAGTGGCAGAGCTGGAATTTGAATCTAGGTCTCACTGACTCCAAAAGTCATGTTTCTGCTGCTCCACAATGATGCTCCTTTAGCAGAAGCATCTCTTCCTGCCTTGCATATACCCTTTTGTATTGTTGTTACTTGGATGACGACTCTACAGTATTTTTATTTTATCTTTCTGGTTGTATAATGAATAATTTTGGTAAAGCAGGTGTTTCAGTTTGCCACATTTTTGATGCCTGCTACATTAGGGATACTTAACCTCTATAGGTAAAGAGTAAAAAGCTAATATATAAATATTTTTATTTCCTATTTATGAATTTTTTGTCTTTTCTTTTCCAGAACTTTATGAAATCTTCCTCTCAAGAGCAAAGGAACGTTGGAAAAGCTTCAGTGAAACAAGTTCAGAGAATGATACAGAAGGTGTATTTTTTTTTTTTTTTTGGCATCTCTAGCTGTCGCAGCAGCGACGGTTGTCGGGGCGGCGGAGACAATAACAAATGCCACAACTCTTACAGAGAAGTGGGGCCGGAAGGTCACTCTAAGGAGTCGAACCTCGGCTTCAGTCCCAGGAGTTTATTTTATAGTCAGTACAGCAAACAGCGAAGCAAATAACAGAACAGTGGGCTTTGGGTGAATAACAATAAGTTTCGGGCAAGGGAGAAGGAATTCAGGTAAACAAGCCA